GTGGGAACAGCCCAGGCCTTGTCTTTTTAAGACCAATGGCTGCTATTTTATGCAACTTTATAGCAACTAGGCAACCAAGGTGCTAGGTGCTGGACAAACACGGGGAAGGGATGGTCCCTGCCTATAGAGCTCACTGGCACTGGAGCTATTTTAAGGTGGGGGTGCTGCATTGTGCACCCCCCCCACCTGTTTGTGCCCTTCCCTGCCCCAGACGGGGGTCACACCTATGGCTGCCAACTCAAGACCGGATGCAAATGGCGTCGAGTACGTCCAGGCTGGGAGAGTTGGCAACTGAAGGTGGCTGAGCAGCAGTGGAGCTGCCAGGGCCGATGGCCTGGACCCTAGAGGCAGCGGGTTGCAGAGCCTGTGGGGCTGGCGGGCTCGTGGGGGTGGCGAAGCCCTTGAGGCCAGTGGGGCCATGGAGGGGCCGCCCGAAAGCTGGGACCAAGGGCTGGTGGGTCAGCAGCAGCACCGGCCCTGGGCTGGGGAACCCAGGTGCAAAAGCCCCCTCGCGGCCCTCCACACCTATGGTAGAGCTTCCAAGCTAATGGTCTCTAGGATGTCCCTGGCCCAGCCTGATTCTGGGGCTGGCTCCATGTGGGGAGGGGGGCGGGGAGGCAAGGGAGTACGGTGCCCTGCCCAGGAGCCATGGTGATCCCCAGCGACAGGCACTGCCTGCAAACCCTGGTGCTTGAGCTCAGTAAGAGCTGCCTCAGTTTCCCCTGCATGGCTCCAAATTGGCAGCGCAGACGCCTCCCTTGGGCTCCAAGTGCTATGGCTCAGGATCCCGTCTGGCCCTGGGCTTGGGAAGCAGCCCAGGAGGGAGACTCCCAGGCTTTGATTTCCCAGTGGGGCTGCGGCACCCTCCAGTCCCACCCTTCCAAGCTACCATGGTTCTGAACTGACCTTACCGCTCCAGGGGTCGCAGCAGATTGCGGGTCATCCCCTAACACCAGCTGGGCTGTGGTCAGGGTCTGGACTAGGGAATCTCAGGGTTCTAGCCAATGTTCCCTCTCATTTCCTCCATCCACGTATGGAATAACTATTGTTGCATGCACCAAGCCATGGGTGGATGTGCACCACCTGTAGAAACACCTGCTGCTGGCTGCGGGCGCTCTGCTAATCAGTGGCTGCCCAAATGCTCTGCATACAGGAAACGCCAGCGCTGGGAGGGCAATGGGGGGTAGAGGATTAGAGGGCGGGGGATGGACGCCGGGATTCCTGGGTTCTAATCCTGGCTTAGATTGCTGGTATTATTTTAGGCAGGTCCCTTCCTCTCCACCCCAGGTTCCCATCTGTGAAATGGAGGTAACAATACATGGCTCATGGGGGCGGGGAGGGCTGGCATTGGGAGGCATTAATCAATGCTCTGTGGTGCTCTCCTAAAAGGTGGTGCTGTCGAGCGTACTTCCTGCCTGTCCCCTGAGCATTATGGGTAATGCCGCCCCTGTATTGCTTCAAGCCTCGCCTCAGGGCTCCATGCCAAGAGCATCAATTCTTATCCCGCTTCATCTGAAGAGCTCTGCGTGCTCCAGCAAAAGGCGGGTTAGTATTCTCAGCAGCCCACTCCATTGGGGGGAAACTGAGGCCCGGAGCAGGGGAAACGGCTCTTCCAACAAGTCAGTAGTAGATGTGGCAAAAGGTTCCGGGGGTCCTGATTTGCACTCCAATACAATAACCCCTTCTGCCATCAAACATTTGACAAGTTCATCACCATCAACTTATGTTTGAATAAAGATCTTAACTGGTTAACGCACTGCAGAGGCAACTCCCCCCACCTTTGCTATTCACATCCCCACATCAAATGCTGTGAATGGGAATCATCCATCCCGATTTGATTAGCTTAATTAACACTGGCCCTACAACTGAAAAGTAATTTCCTTAGCTGTTTATATCCCCTTGACTCCCTCCACTCCAACTCATCTGATGAAGTGAGTTTTACCCATGAACGCTCATGACTTAACACATCTGTTAGCCTCTAAGGTGCCACAGGAATGCTCGCTGTTTTTAATTACAGACTAACCCAGCTACTCCTCTGAGACTTTTCTCCTCCACCAGGCCTGTTTCCCCAGTCACCCTCCCCCCGTCCCATCCTGGGACTTACATCAGTGTTTATTTACACTAGACTCCCCTCAAACTCATCAAAGGCCGCTTAACTCAAGGTGGCCCCCACCTGTGAAGGCTAGTGTGGATGGCTCTTCAGGGGCTCTGCTCAGAGTAAAGGGTTTGTCGCACAGATAAGGCCACGTCCACACGATGGTGTTGTCTACGCTACGGCTTTTGCCAGATGAGGCAATGCAAATGAAGTGCTGCTTAGCATTTTGTCGTGCTTCATTTGCAGAATCTATTCTGAGCCATTTTTGCGCAAGGGGTATTTGCGCAAAACCAGCTCGGACTATATTATGCAAATGAAGCGTGGCACAATGCTAATCAGCGCTTCGTTTGCATGGCCTCTTCCGGCAAAAGCCGTAGCGTAGACATAGCCTAAGGGGAAAAGAGCAAGTTCAAACCGCAGCGAAGAGGCGCCCGTTTGAGGTTGCTATCATGTGTTGGCAGACTGAGATAAGCCCTGAATCCCTGTAATCTTTACCACAACCTGCTAGCACATGGTAAAACCTCCAGCCAGCCTTGGCTTTGCGGGGGCTTCACCTCGTGGTAGCTGGCCCCGGTGCCGAGCGCTCTTTTTGCTGCCGAGTCGCAACGAGGGTCAAAGATTTCAACCTGTTTAAAGACACTCCGGTGCTGGTCCAAGCCTCGTTCCCACGTGGAAATGGACCCGAAAAGCTGTTCCGGAGCCGTTCAGTGCGGAGTTTTTCCAAAGCAGAGTAATGTCAGGAATAGATCCCTTTTTATTTGGGGGCGGGGGGCCCACGCTGGCGTTACGGCGTTACTTTCCAGCCCGTCTCCTGGTGGGGCATGGCTCTAGGCACTGAGCTGTGTTTTAAGAGCTGGCGGGGAGGGGATGAGATTTCCGCAGCCTCCGTTGCTCAGTGGTCAGCCCTCCCCTCCATGTGCGCCTGCGTCAGCCCCAGTCCACGGCTTGGGGAGCTGACACGTGTGGTTTCTGTAGCTGTTTTCCATCTAGACCTTCTAATTTCCTACCCCCAAAGAATTTCCATCTCCAGGGCAACCCACGAGCAAGATTTCCAACTGGGAGACGCGGCCACCGTGCCAAGCCAAGACGGGCTCAGAACCAGGGCGGAGGCTTTGCGGAAGTGGAGCTGGGAGCAGTCCGGCATCCCTGGCCACCATGGGACCATAACTATCGGGACACCAGCAGGTAGGTTTCAAACCCTGCAATTCTCTGAAGGGCGAAGGGGAGTGGTGGGGTGCAAACAGGCTTCTTGGGTTAAATACGAGGCCTCTTGCCTTGAGGGGTCTGCACCCCGGCTGGACGCCAGTGTCTGTAAACAGCCCTCCAGGGTAGCCTGTCTCCCTGTGCCCCCGTCCCTGAGTCACCGAGGAATCGCGTACAGCCTGGTTTGGGCTCCCTTGTATTGGCAGCCTCCACTAGCGTCCCAAGAACGGGCCGTTTGGGGGGCAGGACTCCTGGTAGCGGAGTTCGTGGGGCTGGCCCTGCTCTGCTAAGAGGACTTGATGTTCTAGTTGGAGGGGGTGGAAAACTCCGGTATGCCCTGCACTTTTGCGGTCCCAAGCGTTCTCAGCTCACCGCCAGCCTAGACTCCTTGTTGGAAACCAATGGAATGTGACCCCAAAGGATCAAACCCTGGACATGCAGAGCCTGGGTCAAAGGTCACGCTGCGGCACCCCCTGCTGGCTGGTGGCTAATCCAGAACGACTCCGCTTAGAGCCAGTGGTGCCTAGCTAGCAATCATTGCTCTAGGGTGGGGCTGGGGAGGAGGGGTTCAGGATGCAGTCTGCTCTGGGGAGAGAAGATAACCCCAGACCTCTCCCACCGCAGCAGCTTGGGGCCAGGTGAGAAGTGCCTCGCCATGACCTCTGCAGCTCCAACAGGCCCAGCCAGGGGAATGGTGCATGTCCTCCAGCTGGGGGACAGACAGACATATAGACAGACACACAAACTCTCTGAAATATATAGTAGAGAGCTGTCTCTTTTTCCGCCCTGGTCCCCAGCTGGCCCAGTGGGTTATAGCTGTCCCAGTGCCCATCTCTGGCCCCTTGCTGCCTCCTGTGGTCATTCTACAGTATAACCATCCCTCCTGCCAGACCCCTCCCTTTCCATTTTATGAGAAACAATCCAATTCCAGGCACGTCCCATTGTCCTGACACAATCAAACCCTGACCTTGCTTTAAGCTATGATCAGAAGAAGCTGCCTCCCGAATTTGGTGGTCCTAGCGCTTACCATTTAGGACGAGTTCTTGGACCCACAGACACAGACAGACAAACTCACTTAAATATATAGTAAAGTATGTGATCTGCCATAACTGGCTGGCTGCTCCTCGCATCAGCGCGATTCGTCTTGGTCCGTTCGCCGTCACGCTGAGATGAATGGTTCACACTGTGCAAGTGATGTTAAGTGGAAAACTGGAGGCAGGGGGATGAACGCACGGTCCCTGTCGCCTCCAGCCCTGCCGTAGCTAGTGGCTAAGTTGCTAAGGGTGGACATATGGGACATTTCTCAAGAATGCTCCTCCTACCAATACACAGTCCTACAAACCATCAGATGAGGCATGGGTGAGGGACTTCAAGCTGGCTTTGAGATAGTTCAAGGTACGACGCTTAGAAAGATGCGTGGAAGGACGGGTTCAGAAGAATACCAAAAGAGCAGCAATGTTACTTCAGCTTTTTCTTTAAGGGGGGCAGAGATGCCCTTAACACTTGTACTTTTCTGCACACTCTGTCCTGGTCTGGAGGCAAAAATACAGTTCTGGACCAGTGAGATGTCCCATATGTGTAGACACATGTACAGTAAGGAGCAAATACACAGGATAATTTGGCCAATCCATTTCTGTATTTTTGCACAAATGGCGGGGGGGGAGGCTGGCAAAAATCCAGGGCAGGGCTAGGGGGGTAGCATCTTTGCACGCTTTTCACCAGTGCCTTGGGCAAACACAGAGAACAGCCTCCGTGAAAAAAGTTCTGCACCAGAAGCCCACTCTCCCCCACTTGCTCCCTGCATCTCTGTTCCCTGGGTGGTTTTTAGTTTGCTATTTTCTCCCCCCTCCTTCATTGTTTCTGCTATTTTGGCTTTTTTTGAAAAAAAATCCCCACCCTGCCATTTATTTTTAGCAGCCAATTGAAACGTCTGGGAGATGAAGGAGGAAAAAACTGTGAGTGGCGTGTGCTAAAGCAGCAGAAGACAGAGTACCCTTTGAGGCAGAGGGAGAGAGAAACCCTTGCTGACACTCGCACTATGCCCAGTTTGGCTGCTGGCGCTGCTGGAACGTACGTTCCAGCTGGACTCTAACGGGCGCTATGGAGCAGTACAGCCGTCTCTCTGCTCTTTGCATTCTGCTGCTGCTTCGAGGTAACAAATCTGGTTTTTTAATTTCTGTGTGTCAAAGGGAAGGAAAACCAAACTCCAGCAGAACTGTAAGAATCCAGGACTGAATTGAGTCTTTTGGTCGCCGGGAGATATTTTCCAGGTCCCCAATGGGCATTGGGTGTCTGGCAGCCAGAAGAGCTGGCAACCTACCACCCAGTGTGGCGTGGGCTGTCTCCCTTTCTCATCAGCACCCACTTTTTTTAAAAAAGTAGGCACAATTAGCCTGCAAAGCCCTCGTCTTGCGCTCTGGGTGGCCCGGTATGTCACCTCAGCCCAGTGGGCCTTGAGGAGTTAAAAAGGGGCTGGAAAGTAAACGTTGCTCTTGGTTTTCTATTGCATTGCTGCCGGCAGGAGGAAAGTGCCGGGTTTCTGTGGGGAAAGGATAACGTGGCTGTCCGGGTGCTGCGGGAGACACGCAAGGGCTCTGGGCTCCGCTGGTGGGGGCGTGGTACTTCAAAGGCAGCAGCGGGTGGAGAAGGGGGAAAATGTGCCTGATCGTGTGGATAACCTGGAGGAATGGGAAGCTGGCACATGGTGGCTATTCTTGTCCACTATAGACCATTGATTGCCAGTCTGTTGGACCCCACCAGGAAAACATGTGGGAGATCTAGTGCGTCTGCTTCTGACACAAAGTAGAATGCGTTCTCCCTCTGCGTTCTCCGTTTGTTGCCGATCAAGACCTCCCCCTATTGCTAAGTGTGAGGGGACGTCTAGTTAGATCCATTACGGGGGGGGGGGGGGCACCAGGTGAGGTGGAAAACACAAAATACTCGCTCTAGAACAGTTTGGTTTTGGCCATGGAACCCTTTTAAACTCAAAAGAATTTTGCGGAACCCGTAATAACAGTCTAATATATGGAGCTGTAAAAGTAGACCACAAATAAGTAAGGGTAATAATAAACAAATGCTAAACAAGGTCATGAGATCAACATTTAGTTTAAGTGCACATATTTAAAAACAAAAATCACATAATATTCATGTTTTTAATCAAAAAATGGTATTGTAATGGAATTTTCTCGCGGAACCCTTATTTTCACTTTGTGGAACCCCACTTGGGAAACACTGCTCTAGACTGAAGTTTTGCGGTGGCTAATGGTCTTTTTAGGTGGATGTTGACACTAGCCTCTCTCCTGGAAAAATTCCTGTCATTGTGCTTTCTGGTGTATTTTCATAGCAGGAAGTAATGGTGGCAGAAGTAGGATAGATGGCTCCAGGGGTAAAATACTCACCTGAATCCACCCTGAGCAGTTTCATACACACTGCCTGGTGGCTAACACATCACTGTCCTGTTGACAACAGTGGTAGCAAGCCCCCTAGGGACTTTTGCACTGTGTTTGTACAGCACCTAGCACAACTGGGTCCAAAAACCAATTGGTGCCATCAGGAGGATACTGCAGTATATAAGAACGGTGGTATGCCTTCACTTCCCCCAATGCACTAGTCGCCGTGGTTCCTAAACTTTTCGGCATCACACCCCCTTTTTGATTTTTGAGACACCCTCGCGCCCCACTCCATAGCAGCAAAACTTGTTGAGCCAAAAAAAAAAAAAAAAGAACTGACCAGGGCCGAAAACCAAAAATAGCAGCAAAACTTGGGGGGAGGAGAGAGTCACGGGCGGGGGCTGGATCACCTTGTACCCCTCCCCCCAGAATTACTTCACGCCCCCCAGTTTGGGAACCCATGCTAGTGGGACCATGGCCTGGTGCTGGAATTTGCAGCACTGCATTGTGGGATCAGCTCGGGGGGCGCTTGGAGAATGATTCCGCTGCTGGAACTCTGGGCTGCTGTGGCCAATCAGAGGGGGCGGAATAGTCGCCAACCGAGCCCGTTGTGGTTCTCATCTCCTCCTCGACAGAGGCTGGAAATTAGGAGGTTTCTAACCAGTGGGCGAGGGAGGTTCTGGAATAGCCAGGAGGGTGGGCGGGAGCACACAACCTAGTTTCTAAATGGCACTTGGTGTGTTTATGAAGATGAGGGGGTTGTCTGTGACAGGATGGTTTGGACTTGGTGGCCGGGGGCGGGGGCCTTCCAGTCCTCTTGTCCCTTTCTGTACCTTTGTTTCCCCCTCCCACACACTGTCTTTCATTAAGCACATCGGGGCAGAGTATAGATGGACAGGGAGACCGATAGACTTGTAAAGATCCACCCCCCTCTCCCGAGCAAGGCTGGGGGTGGGGTTTCACCGTGGGGCAGCCAATCTGGGGCCAGAGGGTGAGCGCGGATGCGGCACTCAAGTGGGATGTGAATAAGTTTTGACCCCTGGAAGCCTATAATCTAGAAAGGCTAGTGGGAGGAGGCGTGACCCCCTTCCTACAGAAGAGGGAAACTGAGGCAAGCAGGGAGGGAGCTGCCCCCAGGGACTCAATGACAGCTCTCCCGGGTCCCAGCCTTGTGTCTTAACCCCAAAGCCAGCCTGGCTCTGCCGGGCTAAGCTCCAATTGCTCTGCTATCGGGTGGCGGTACATGGTCCAAGGGAGGGGAGAGGGTGCCGTTTATTCCCCAGGCAAACATTTCTGCAGCGTCACACCCAGGAGTTGCAGAGGAAAAATGTGTCATGGAAAAAATGCAGGCACAGCTGGCTTTGCAATGTACCGGCCTCGTGTGGGTGCCACGCAGGCCCTGTGGGGGCGGGGGCTGCATGCCCAGTTCTGGCTGGAGCCTGCTGCCACAAGGGCGGGGGTAGAGGGGGCAGGGATTGGGCCCGAAAGGGGGCATGTGGCTAGAGCATGGGGGGGGCTGGCATTTGACAGAGGGGGATGGGCATATTGCTCTAGTGAGCACAGTGTGGAGGATTAAACCAACGGCTCGGCGGTTCGGGGCCTGCTCTCGGATTTTTGGGTGCAGCAGCTGGAATCGGGCAAAGCAACGTTCACCCAGAGGCTGTGGCCCCATCCTAGCCACAGCAGTGAGCCGGATGGCTGGGGAGTAAAGCACAAGACTGGAACGTAGGAGGAATCCTGCATTCTGCCCTGGCTCTGGGTGGGGAGTGAGGTCTAGTGGTTACAGCTCGGGGGAGAGGGGCAGGAAGGAAGGTGTGGGAGATGAGAATGATGGGTTCCAGGGCTGGCTTGGGAAGGGAGTGGGGTCTAGTGGTTACAGCTTGGAGTGGTGGGGGAGGGGTGGGAGATGAGAATGCTGGGTTCCAGGGCTGGCTTGGGAAGGGAGTGGGGTCTAGTGGTTAGAGTGAGTAGGGAGGAATGATAGGGAGCTGGACTCCTGACCTCTTTCCCAAGCCCTTTCACTGACTTTCTGCATGACTCTTGCGGAGTCATTTCCTATATGCCCTGTCTGGGACAGCGATGCCCACCTAGCCAGCGGGCCAAAGGAGGCTCTTTGAGGGCCTTCGCTGCTGTGGGGGGGGAGGGTACAGTAACTTACTGCTAAGGGCAGGGGAGCCCCGGTGTCCTGGGAGCTGGCCCAGGGGGTGGCAAGGTGGCACCCAAGTACCCTCATAGAAGCCTAGAACTTGAGAGGGCATCAAGTCCCGTCCCCTGTCCCCACGGCAGAACTAAGCACCGTCTAGATCAGGACTATTCAACACACAGCCCGTGGCCTGTTTGTTTGCAGCCCGCGGTGCGGTTTGGGTTTACGCAGGGCTCAGCACGCGGCCCGTGACCTGTTTGTTTGCAGCCCACGGTGCGGTTTGGGTTTACACGGGGCTCAACACGCGGCCCATGGATGGGACCATTTGAACATGGCCTCCACTAGGAACACGATCCGCCACGGCACAGCGTCTCCCAGGCTTGAAAGACCCAAGCGGACAGGCTGGCTAGAACAGACGGGTGCAGGGTGCCGGCATTCCCAGCCCCCAGAGAGGAGGTGCCGGGAGCGCCAGGGCATCATGTGAAAGAAGCTATTTACATATATATATTTGCATGCACAGGCAACCACCCTTAAGCTGGGGCCCTCGGCATGTGCTGGGAGTATTATTGTGGCCCCCAGGGCTTTCAATGCTAAGTAGCTCTGATCTAGACCATCCCTGACAGGTGTCTGTCTAACCTGCTCTTCAATATCTCCAGTGATGGGGATTCCACAACCTCCCTGGGCAACTTATTCCAGTTCAGAAGTTTTCCCTAATGTCCAACCTGAACCTCCCTTGCTGCAATTTAAGCCCCTTGCTTCTTGTCCCATCCTCAGAGCTTAAGAAGACAATCTTTCTCCTGCCTCCTTTTCACAACCTTTTATGTACATGAAAGCCGGTCCCGTGTCCCCTCTCAGTTTGTTCTTTTCCAGACTAAACAAACCCCCCTTTTTTCAATCTTCCATCATAGATCCGGTTTTCTAGACCTGTCTTTTGTTGCTTTTCTTTGGACTTTTTCCCATTTGTCCACTTTCTTCTTGAAATGTGGTGCCCAGATCTGGACGCAATACTCCAGCTGAGGGCTAATTAGCACATAGTAGCGCAGAAGAATGACTTCTCATGTCTTGCTCACCACACGCCTATGAATGCAGCCCAGAATGAGGTTGGCTTTTTTGGAAACAGTGTCACACGGTTGACTCACATTTCGCTTGTGGTCCACGATGCCCCCTAGAGTCTTTTCTGCAGGGCTCCGTCCTAGACAGCCGCTTCCCATTCTGTGTGTGTGTTGCGGATTGTGCCTTCCTACATGGAGGACTTTGCATTTGTCCGTATTGAGTTCATCCTCAGGGGCATTTTTCAGCACCTGCTCGCTGCTCTGCGTCAGGGCTCTGCGTAGGAGCTGGAGATGGGGCCGCACCGTGGTGGGGCTGGGCATGTTGGGACGTATGATGCAGGACTATCGTCACAACATCTGTCTCACAGATGCTCCCCAGGCAAAGTGTGAGGTTCCTAAACCCCTTGGCTGAGGACAGAAGACGCCTCCTACGTGCAGTTCCCCCAGCAGCCTGCCCCACAGCCCCGAATTCCTCTGGGGTGGCTCATTACCTGCTCCTACTACTCCTGCGAAATGGGTACATCGTTCGCCTCTGCAGCTGGCTGCTCTGTGTCCCTGGGAGGGAAGC